CAAAGATACTGGAGTGGCTTGCCAGTTCCTGCTCCAGGTGGATCACATTTAGTCAGAACTCTCCCCTATGACCTGTCCATCTTGGGTGTCCCTGCACAGCCTAGCCCATAGCTTCTTTGAATTACTCAAGCCCCTCCGCCACGACAAGATAGCAATCTGTTAAGGGTTAAGTAGGATACTACTGAACCCCCTCACCAATTGCTGCCTTGTCGTGTTGGATATACTATACAAAAGGACACCAAATCATAAATACTTCTACATTTAATAGGCCCAACTTGATAATTTTATGAGCATACAAAAATATGCACAATACATTTCCCATGTAACTTTAGATCAGTGCTTTAAAAAAGGCTTCTGTATATGTGTGTGTGTGTGCGCACACACAGACACATAAACAGCTTGTGGGGGGAGGGATTGGTTTTCTGTGGCTTCAGAATTTCTGGAAATTTTACATATTCTGCCTCTCAGATTCTTCAAAGCTTACAAAAATCTGATAAAAGCTAGGCACATGAAAATGCAAGCACACTCGTTTGCCTGATTTGCATGCATATTTGCTACAACCTGGGAACAAAAGCATATGTTTCCCTGCTGGCAAACTACTTGCTATAAAACCTGTTTCACGGATCTCAACCACTACTTCTCAGTTCACAAACAGCTGCAATCCTCATTCCCCTAAAGCCACACAGGGAAAGGAAGAGAGATTAAGTTAGACCCTTTCTCCTCAACATAGTAGAAAAATTGGTTGGCAAGACTTGTTTATCCATCATGTTGCTGCATTTCAAGAGTTGGTATCCGTTTCCAAGTTTTGTTAAAATAACTCTACCTCCCAAACCTCAGCCCATTTTTTTTATTCTGAGGTCTCTTAACATGAAGATTAACTGTGTCTCCATCTTTGCTCTGTTAGTGTTGTTTTAAGGATTTGTTCTCTGTATCTTCTGAACATCCATTCATGGGAATTGTGCCTCATGCCTGGTTAACAAGCATCTGTCTTTGGTGCTCAGTTGTTTAGAATATGTAGTAAAGGTAGTAATGGTGGTTGATACTGAACATCCTTCATTTTGCCGAAACGCATCTTGTATAGCAGGGGTGAACTGGGGCCTATTTCAGCCCCCTATATTCTACCATGGGTAGCGCAACAGTAACCAAAACTGCTACCATGTTTCCCCAAAAATAAGACAGGGTCTTACATTAATTTTTGCTCCATAAAATGCATTAGGGTTTATTTTCAGGGGATTTTTTATTTTTTTTTCGATGTACAACAATCTACATTTATTCAAATACAGTCATATCATCTTCTTCTGGTTGCTGTACAATGGTGGAGGGTGGGGTTTCACATAACTGGAGCTTATTTTTGGGGTAGGGCTTATATTACGAGCATCCTAAAAAATCATATTAGGTCTTATTTTCAGATTAGGTCTTATTTTCAGGGAAACAGGGTACTGGTAGTTTAAAACTGAAAAACAAGGTATGTGATGAACACACACCTGGAGAGGAAAACCATGCTTCCTGGGGTGCAACTCTCCTCTAAAGGAAGATGAGCATGCAACCACATATACACAAAAGTTAATGGGGGAAATGTACACAGCCTCCAAACTACTTCTCCCCTTGTATAAATTGCCGCGGCTAGGGAGGCCTACAAACCATGTCTGAGCTAAGACATGAGATACCCTTTCATATTCCAGCAACAACAGGACTAGGTCCAATGGGGGAACAGGAGGTTCTATTTTCCGTTCTCATGTGGACAACATGCCACAAATCCCCCCTCTCGGCATCTGTCATATTGTTCCACCAAACTCGCCATCTGGTCTCTTTTTTGACCAGTCTGGTGTATGCGGGTTTTTTTTTAAAAAAATTACCTGGCATGTTGCTACTCCAAGTAAAACAGAAGCCAGTAGAAAGGTTTCCTTCCCACCCCTTCCCAGATACGTGTTCCCACTGCTGCAATAGCACTGCCCTAAAAGGGCTCACAGAAGGGTGGTTATATGGCTAATTGTCCCATTTAGGGAGGGTCTGTTCATGGTTCAAGCACATCCTAAACAACAACTTTCTCTGAGGACTGCTGCACCAATGTTGCCCCCTCGATGGTAGAGTCCAATTCTGTCGCTTAGAAGCCTCAGCACCTTAAAGAAGAGAATCAGTTGCAGGGGAAGATCTGTGGCCAAGTGCTGCCAGACAGCATACTGCTCAAGAATTTAAGCACAAACGATAATAGCTACAAAACTGTGTGCTTCTGCATGTGCAAGGCAAGAGAATTAGACTTCATTGGTTCTGGTTCTCTAAAGGACACGTGCAATAGCAACAGCATTCGTGTCTTTGGATACCTTTTCCTCTTCCTGACATGCAGATGAGCAGAAAGGAGAAGGCTATATAACAGGGAGGGCCCAGAATGGTTGTGAATCTCCTTCTCCCTCAGCGCACCTTCTGAGACTAATTCTCATTCTGTGGCTCCTTGCTCCAAATCCACAGCACCAACCCCCTTCCTATTTACCGGCACACAAGACTGTTCCCATTTTATAGCAGTGAACTGAGACAAACGCCAACCTCCTATGGCAAACGTACGGCTACATGTGGACTGAATTGGCCTCACTATCATGGAAAGCTTCCCATTCAGCTTGGCACCAGGATTGCAGACAAGAAGGCACACCCTCCTCACAGGAATCCTGCTGCAGAGGGATAAATGGAACCAGAACACTTTTATTTGGGTGACAACAATGCCTCGCACTGTGAAATTCCAGCAACATTAAGTCAACTCTCTCTTTATCCAGCTTGGAATGCGATTTGTCTATTTCAGGAACTCAGGGCACAGGCATATTTTTGAAAGACTGCAGGGGTGGATGGGTGTCTGTGCCTCCTGGTGCCTCCTTTAACTATCTAAGAGATATTTCTAGACCACATAGCATGCATTTTTTAAATGCCTTTACTGACTCCATTGCCTGGGATAAAACACTGAGATAAAAAGTTAGTAATGATTATTATCTAGATTCTCCATCTAAGATACTGAACATGGTGCTCATGGAATTTGGAGCTCCTAAGGTGGCAGAAGAGCTCCTAAGGTGCCTACAGCTCATCCTAAGCCCCGGTCTTCACAACTGAGACTGTGTCAGCACCCACAGTGTCCTGGTGTTTCACTGTTACAGGTCTCTAAAGTGGTTCTTCCCCTTCATTCCTGCCAAATCTGAAGGCAATCCAGCAAGTTGTAGCCGTACTTAAGCAAACACTGATGTACGCAAGCCCCATTTAAAACAACAGAGCTGACAAACTCACTGAAAAGAATATACTGCTTGTAGTGATGAACTTTTAAGAAGCAGTGCTTAAACAGCAGGAGAGTGCTGCTCTTACGTCTCAACTAAGTGATATACACTCTACAGCAGTGATATACTTTTATGAATACGGCCCATCCCTAGACAAAGGGAAGAAGTGGAGTGCATGTAAGCGATGCCATAAATCTCCTCTCAGTGGTGATCACCTGCCATCAGCATAGCTTTCAGCTGGCTTGGGAAAGATTCAGGCTTTCTTTACCCATAAAAAACCAAAACCGAAACACAGCTCTGTGACAGGATAGCTGGCCAAATAAAAAGCCTGGTATGATCCTTGTGGGGGCACCACTTTTGACTGACAAACAGGCCTCTCGCCCTAGCTGCCATTATCTTAGGCTCCCTTCTAGAGTACAGAGCACAACTAAGCTACCCTGAGACACACGGGATACAGCTGTACCAGGAAAACTGCAGCCATAATTCATCTGTGGTGCAGCAGAACGCTGCTCATGTCTACTGATTTCACAAGGTGGACCCAATGGCAGCAATGTACTACGGTAGGCCTTTATCAGGCACACTGTAAAGAGAAAGCAAACTTGTATTGACTTCGCACGACACTTCCACTACTGCCAAGACCTGCGGAACTACTGCCAGTGTCATTCTGCTTGCAGCAAAGAGAGTCTACCACCTTCTAAGGTTCTTTTCCCTGGAGTTTGTTGAGACAGTTCAGCATGCAGTCTGTTCTGGTCTTTCAAGCCCCCTCTCTAGTCAGTCCCTGTGTTTTATGCAATACCTCACAAAAGGTGATTTGTTATGAAAGGGGAATGAATCAGAGACAGGGGAATTCTAGAAGACTGCATATCAGAGCCGCAGTTGGTACAGATTATTTTTAAGAATAAAAGTTTCAAAACCCAGCATCAGCTGACTGAGGACTCTGGGACTTACAGTCCCAAACAAGCAACTTTTCTAAACTCTAACCAGACTAGGACCGGATCATAAAAGTTATCTGAATGTTCCCAATGATATCTAAGAATCAATAAATAATCTTCAGCATTTTTGCACCACTTTTCTTCAAGCATAAGAAAAGATTTATAAAAACGGCAGAAAACTAGTCCAAACTGTTACTAGGCATTTGTTTTCTGCATTTTGGTTTCATTTGTTTTTACATAGCTTTATTTATGCTCTGGCCCCTTCTGTTTTTATGTGATTAGATTGTCTATGATTTTACTATATTAATTGTTGGATTATGTATTTTATTGTGAAGCACCTAGAGTAGTGCTATGGGACTAGTGGGAGCACTATTTCAAATTTAAAAAAACAAACAAACACACACAAACACCCACCCACCCTAATTTTGTTCTTTTACATAGCTTTATTTATGCTCTGGCCCCTTCTGTTTTTATGTGATTAGATTGTCTATGATTTTACTATATTAATTGTTGGATTATGTATTTTATTGTGAAGCACCTAGAGTAGTGCTATGGGACTAGTGGGAGCACTATTTCAAATTTAAAAAAACAAACAAACACACACAAACACACACACACCCTAATTTTGTTTACAAATGGGGGCACCAGCTATATCCAATTCAGAACAAGCTCTCCTAGGATACAGGCTTCTTAATTCCCTGCAGCATTCCAGTCAGCACACCATCCAGTCAGCACACCATCAGATGAACAGTTCCCACAAATCAGGATCGTTTCTTTAACTCCATGCAATATCATCAGCAAGGTGCTGCATTCTTACCTTCAAGAACTTGTACAGAAGGAATGTGAACCAGTTTGTCAACATTTTCTCAGCCACTGACTCTGTCCTGTAGGGGAAGTAGAGAGTAAGTTGTGAATAACAGGGAAAAATCAGTCTTCTGATCTTCTTTCAAAGTCTCTGATCTTTCTGCTATTTTTCTCAGAGGCTTTAAAGGTCAAACCTTGAAAGACAGGAACCTCAAAGAACCAAAGAAGGTAGCCAGAAGACTGGGGTTGCCATGACAAATTCTAAAGATAGTCCTGGAAACAGCCCAACCCACTTTGCTCCCACTGAGCTCATTAGAGTTAAACCTGGCCTCCTGCAGGCCACAGCTGTAAGAACACAGCAAAAGAAACCAATGTGCCCCAGTCCCCATCTGCAAATCCTCAAGGGGATGCAGCAGTACTGGAGAGGGATCCATAGTACAGTCTTCAGGCTCAGGGGAAAATACATAACCTCCTTACTCTGTGTTCCCCATTTCCAATGAGTTCAAAAATTCATATTGTCATTAAGTGACTAGAATTACAAAATTTACCAATAAACTGACCCCCACCCCCACCCCGAGTTGTAACTTTTAAAATCAGGCAGTAACTAAGAAGTATATTCACAAACTATGAATGAATCTGAAATTATTCTGTAGATCGGTGAATCATCCCAGTTGGAAAGTACTCTTGAAATTGAACAATTCTATGAAGATTTATAGTGATGCTCGTATTAATAGAACAGTTAGGCAGCAAACACTTAGTAAAGACCACAAATAATTTATAGTGATGCTCGTATTAATAGTACAGCTAGGCAGCAAACACTAAGAACATAACACAGAGTTCTGTGGTGTATATATACTATTGCTACTAAAAGCTTGGTGAATTATCCACTTCAGAACCTTCTCTCATAACGCAATACATAATCAGAGGCCAAGAGAAAATGTGAAAGAGTAGCAAAGGATGAATGAGCACTGCCACTATTTACCTTAACTCGTTTCACACTGAGTTCCATGCAATGATTTTAATGCAGTCTGTGAGTTGTTGCAAGGAATAATAGCCAAAAACTAGAGAATGAACATCTCCCCTTCCCAGTTCTTTCCCTTAAAAATACAGAAAGAACACATTGCTTCTGCCAAATGGTATGTATATGTGCATGAGCACATATGCATGGAGGCATGCGGTGGGGGGACCAGGAGGTTGGTCAGCTCTGGACAGGCAGGCTGGCTGGCAGGCCAGAAATGTTCAGAGCAAGCCCTGACATTTCATTTCAGCCTGTGGAATTGGTTAGTGAGCTGAATTTTCTCCTATCAGTGGCTGCCAGCTACCTCAGCAATGTTAACACTTTCTTCCTTTTCTTGCTTGTCAGGTTGAAATGGAGAGACAGGCAGATGGAGTATTTAAATTTTTCAATCCCTAGATTTGCATGCATCTGAACTGATTACATTTTATCTTCAAGACATAAAGGGGATCTTTTCTAAGCTCGTGGGGTCAGTTCAAGTGCTTGCCCCACTTCCATCAGCCATGGACTCTGACTCCAATTGGGCAAAGCTGCACAATCCCAGGATGCCCCCAGAAGAAGGGAATAGTAAGCCACTTCTGAGTAATCTCTACTTGGAAAACCCTTAAAAGGGTCACCAGAAATAAAAATTGACTTGATGGCACACAATTATTAGTACTGTGAAAAGGGAGCACTCAAGGATAGGGAGACCCAAAATATTTTCAGCATCAGGTGAACTAACATGGCAAGCTTGCTTTTGTTGTCCTTGTTTGCCCAGCTAGTTTTTCTGTGCCATCAGCAACTCAAAAATGGACTGCAGACAAATATGCCAGGAAGGAAGAGGATTCTTCCCTTCCTGTGAAACTAAGCCAAACAGAACAATCTAGTGACTTCATGAACAATTTTAGTACCATATGCTAATACACCATTCAAAATGAAACTCATATGATGTATTCTCGAAGGCTTTCATGGCTGGGATTCAATGGTTGTTGTAGGTTTTTCGGGCTGTCTGGCCATGTTCTTGAGGTTGTTTTTCTAATATTTCGCCAGTCTCTGTGGCCGGCATCTTCAGAGGACAGGAGTCAGAACTCTGTTTGTGCTCTGGTGCAGTTTGTGGGAAAGTTGAGTCCCAGAAACTGCACAAGAGTACAGACAGAGGTCTGACTCCTGTCCTTTGAAGATGCTGGCCACAGAGACTGGTGAAATGTTAGGAAGAAAAACCTCAAGAACACAGCTAGACAGCCCAAAAAACCTACAACAACCAAACTCATGATGTTTGCTTGTAAAGTTCTCTATGTCTTCACATTCGACACAAAAATTTCTGAACACAACGTATCAGTACATCAGAATGTGCCATAGTAGTGACACCAGCCTCCCATTAAGGTGCTATAGTATGTATAAGCGATCGCAAAACAATGTTCCCTATGGAGGAATTTTGCTTTGCCATGATTGGTTCCCTGCTTCGGGAACCGATCATCGCAAAGCGATGATTTTTTAACAGCTGATTGGTGGTTTCAAAATGGTGTCCGGGTAAACAAAATGGCCTCCCGCTGTGTTTTCGCACGGATGTCTCACTGCACAGGCAGCGAAAACGGCCGCGCTATGGAGGATCTTCGCTGGACGGTGAGTTTGAAGCCCCTAGGAACGCATTAATCTGGTTTTAATGCGTTTCTATGGGCTTTTTAAAATCGCATCATGACGTTTTCGTTCTACAGCGATTTCGCTGGAACGAATTAACGTTGTGATGCGAGGCACCACTGTATTTCTTGTAGGTCATGAGAAAAGCCTGGGTTCATTGCCTGAAAATTCCAGGTGCTCAACTTTAAGGCAGAAGTTTTCTTATGATTGTTGCATGGTGCAGGGTTATCGATCTGGTTGTCGGCTTTCACCCTAAACCCCACGCACCCCGTGAGGTTAACAGACATTGGTGAGGTAGCACCTTACTGGCTGGGGGCTGCCCAGTGAGGTGCAATGCCCTTTCTCATCATCGGAAGTAGCTCCTGGTGTCATGCTCTACGCCAACTGAGCAAGGACTTATAAGGCAGGTTATTGATCTGCTTGTCGTCTTTCACCCTAAACCCCACGCACCACGTGAGGTTAACAGACCATGGTGAGGTAGCACCTTACTGGCTGGGGGCTGCCCAGCTTAAGGTGCACTGCCCTTTCTCATCATCGGAAGTAGCTCCTGGCATCACGCTCTACTCCAACTGAGCAAAGACTTATAAGTAGTAACTGCCATTTCCCGTGTTGTTTCAATGCTGTATGCGAAGCTGGAGTATCCTCTCCAGAGCACGAAGCCTGGGTAAAATAATATGGAGGATAGGCTGTTACCCAAGCAGAAAATCCCTCCTCTCCACATCACCAAAGTAGTCCAATGGAAAGGCAAGAGCCAATCAGCTGGTTCAAGTGATGTCGCAGGAGTTGCCAGAGAATGACTGTACATAGTCATGAACTGCCTCTGGGACTCTGGCTCCGAATTTTGCCTTGAAGTTAACTCCTGAAGCCTTTTCCATCAGTGGATATAGCCACATGGCAGTGGAGGTTTGAAACTGGAGTTTTTCTTCTCCTAGATGTGCTGCCATCAAAGGCTAATGAGCCCCACCTATCCCGGCTAATGAGCCCACACCTACCCCCGGTGTGTGTTTTGGGCACACAAAGTATAAGAGGGGTGGAAAAGGAAAGGGGGGTAGAAAGGAATTTAGAATGGGTGGAGGTGGAAAGGGAGAGGAAAGGAGTGTGGAAGGGGTGGAAGAAAGTTAAAGAACGTTAGCATTTAAGAGCAACAGTAAAGTTTTACATCATTATCAGTTTCTTTGGCATAAACAGGAACTGTTTTTTTCTGGTCACGAGGCCATGTCATGAGGCCACCTGGTCATGAGGCCATGTATAGATACACCAATCTCACTCTGAGGAAGCAAACTTGATCCAGCAGTTAGTCTTTAATCATCCACAATATTTTTGTCTCGTTTTGTGTTTGTTAGTTTTTGGATGCTCAGTAAAGCTGTATTTAACTGCAGCTGGACTTTCCTGCATTTCTGTTTCGTATGTTCCCATTGTGCAATGTCTGTCTATCTTTTTGTTCATGACACAGTACTGTGCTACCTAGAAAACAAGAGTCCCAAATCAGAAGCCCAAGGCAGGGAAGATATTATGAGACAGCAAGGAGAGAGTTTTGAGTAATTTCCTTACACATATCTTCTAATATATCATAAAACTGACTACAGATTAACATTATTCTGGGGAAGTCCAAAAGCAGGACAATACAATTGTCTACCTATCCATTCTAAAGTGGATAGGTGTCACTGGTTGATCTGGATTTGATAACATGAAAACAAAGCAGGCTTATATAAAGAGAAAGGGTTGAAAGAAGAATGTCTGCATTGATTGCTTTCAATATATGCTAGTTTTTACACATGAAGATGTATCTCTGTTACAAATATTAAGACCTTTGCATATTTATCAAACATTTAAGATTATGCACATCTCTTCCTTAAAATTAAAAAAAGCTGATAGCTCTGATTGAAAATTTTGTTTGCTTTTTTGACTGTTCCATCTATTAATCATCAGATTAGCTATTTCATATTCAAATGATCGCAAAAACACAAGCAGCACTAATGACCTCAAGAAAGCAACAGCCTACCCAGTGCTGTAAGGAAGTGGGGTGTGTATGTGACTGAAAATTATAAAAACAACTAAGTCCCTACTCTTTAGTTCTAAAAGCTGCACAGATTCTGAAGGGAGTCCATATATATCAAAAGAGGTAGAAAGAATAGTTCACAACTACAGGTTGTTTTGAACAAAGACCAACTTGTCCATTGGTAATAATGTCTGCCCAAATGCAAGTCCCTCTCTGTTCCCACATTCTGCTTTAATTACACAGACAGGTTCAGCGATTAATTGTCTTTCTGGAGAACAGACCAATGGTGGCAAATGAAAGTGGATCGTCATTGCATATAAATCTGCTTTTGAAGCGTGTGTGTGCAATTTGTGGCCTCCTCAAGGTATATTCATTCCATTTGCCCAGGCATCTCCCATGACTGTCATCTGCTTAAGACTACAGACTTTGTTTTCATTGCTGGATCACAAGCTGGGCAGGCCTAGCCAACACTCCAAAAACGATGGACCTTTTAAAATCTTTGGAACTGCTTTGTGTCAAATCAAGTCACAGGTTTATCAAGCAAACACACTTAGGGCCACAGCAATGCTGCCTGAGATTCTTTTAATGGGGACGAAGCCTGAGAGCATCTCCATGCAAAGAATACAACTTCTCACTGAGCTGTGCTCCCTCCAACTACATACAGAAGGCTTTGTGAAGCTACCCCTGTCTGCATCATTCAAAATAGTAGAATCATAGACAAGTGAAGTTGGAAGGGGCCTACAAGGCCATCAAGTCCAGCCCCCTGCTCAATGCAGGAATACAATCAAAGCATATCTGCCAGGTGATTACCTAAATTTTTCTTGAATACCTCCAGCGTTGGGGCACTCAACCAAAAGGTACTGTTAATTTAGGTGAATACTACATTTCTACAAAACAATGTAACTGCCATTGTGTGGTGGTGGTTAGAAAGAACTGTATTTAGAGTCATTATTGCTTCTTATGTATGGAAAGAAATTTTTAATTATACAAAGTACAGATGGCTTTAGTAACATACCTAGAGTTGCTATAGGGCAGAAAGAGTCTACAAAAGGATAAGATATTGGCAAAGGAACACATAAATGAAGAGGTGGCTGTTCCTGATGGAATACAGTCCACATAAAAGGGAAGGTCCGTAGCCTGGGTGTGGTATTATATCCAGCCATACTGCTGGTGAGTGCCCTTTACCAGTTAAGGCTGGGGCATCATCTGTGGGTTCTTCTGGACAGATAAAACCTACCTATAGTTGTTCATGCTCTAGTAACTGTATCTTGATTACTTTAATACACTGATTTTACAGTGGTCTAATAATTGCATTAGTTATCTGCTGCATCTCTGGAGTGGCTGCAGTCAAGGCTGAAAAGTGTTATTTCCTTTTATTAGTTCTATACTCGGATGCCACAGAGGATTACATCTTACAACACACAAGTAACAGATTTCACCATACAGATTAATGTTAAGCCTGTTAGGTTTGATGTAAAGACATCCCTTGACCAACAAGAAAGGTAGCATGAAAGACAGAAAGAATTCTTCTTTCTTTTACCAGGATGCAAAATGGATGGGGTAAGGGAACTGGGAAGGAAAAGTGGGATTTAAACTGGGGAGCAATGGAAGAAGAATAAAACATTAACCCAAAACTGAAGTCTACATCCAACATGTTCTCCCTCAAACTGCCTCTGCTCCTTTCTGCTATCTCCTGATTTTTGACATTCCTTTCATTTCCAGAACGTTCTCACTGTAACCGTCACATAGTTTAAACTAAGTATAAAATAAAGTTTGTATTTTTTATGTGTATATCTCTATTAACTAGATGGCTGGCTAGCTCAGTGAATTAGGAACCTGGCTGCAGAGCCAGAGGTTTGGAATTTGATTCCGTACTAGGCCTCCTGGGAGTTGAGCCAGCCTCGGTGGCCTTGGGCAAGCTGCACAGTCCCAGGGCACCCTCAGAAGAAGGGAATGGTAAACCCCTTCTGAGTACTCTCTACCCTGAACAAGTTTACTATCAGACAGAATTGACTTGATGCCACATCATCCCCACTACCACCACACCTATAAAGCATATATCCAAGAACTTAAACAGATTGATAATACACACATATTTCCCAGGGATCCAGCATGAAATAACAAACTTTCAAGGGATCCAGCAATGGCTGGAGCTTTTTCTTGAACATGTATTTGCAAGAAAATAAGAATCTGTCATTATGTTACAAATGAAATCATCCAAAAGAAAGAAGGAGGTCCTGCTGCGTGTTAACAGTTAGATAACTATCCTGGCCCTTTTTGGTGTGGTTCCCTTGCTTCAGACGACCTAGGACTGGCAAGGTACATTCCCCTGGGATGCATGTGCAGCTCTTCTCCCAGTTTTCTAGCCTCCCAGGCATCCACATGCCCTGCTGGATTTTGGTGGTGTATCTCCAGACAGGACGGAGAAGCTGATATTCCTCATTAAAGCAAGTTGTGCAATAGGGCTTACTCTTTACCAAACTGATTAAAGCTTCCAAGAATGTACCGGTAACTCTCTTTTACAACAGGATATCAACTCTCCACATACTGCTTGAGGGCATATTTGTGGTTCCCCATTTGGTGGCAGCAGGTGATAGTATGGACCCAGTGGGATTCAGGAAGGCAGGTTCACACCACTCAAAGAAATTGTCCAACTGTGCCCTAAAACAGGGGTCCCCAACCCCTGGCCCGCTGCCAGTATGTGGCCTTCGCAGGACTAGGCCGCCTAGACAGATCTCCTGCCCTCCCACATGCACTCCCCACACGACGCACGCCCACATGCACATACTGCCTGCCCGCTTGCACACACGGGTGCCCCACCTGCCCCATGCATGTGCCCCCGCCCACCCACGAGCGTGCCACGCTCACCCGTGCATGCACACAAGTGTGCCCCACTTACCAGCGAGCATGCCCCACCCATCTGCGAGCACACCCCTCACCTGCACATGCACGTGTGTGCCCCACTCACCAGCGAGCACTCCCCACCCACCCATGAGTGCGTCCTGCCCTCCCATGCATGCCGGCGAGTGTGTCATGCCTCCTGGTAGCGCACCCCCCGCAAGTGGTGGGGGCCCAGACATGGATGCCGCCCTCCCAACCGGTCCGCGGTTCAGAAGAGGTTGGGGACCACTGCCCTAAAAGACACTGTGTTTGGATCAGCCCAAAGTGTTCTCTGACATTAGCAGAGGACTGCTGCCTTCATTTGGGAAAGGGTACAGAAAACAGAGTCCATCAGATGTAGTTGAACTACAACCCCCTCGTCCCTGACCATGAACTGCCGAGTGGCTAGGCCTGATGGGAGCTTGGGTCCAACAATATCAGAAATGTCACAAGTATGTCCCATCCTTGCTCTAAAGAGTTGCTTTACACTGTATGAAACAGTCTTGTCTTCCTACTGGCATATCAGTATTTTGGTTTCAGACACATTTTGTCCTGGAGTATTTTCTTCGGGGTTTTTGGCTCTCCAGTGTTCCAGAATGTTTCAGCTCATTATCTCATAAGGAAGTGTAAATATATTTGCTCAACAAACTCAGATCCTAAACAGTATCTGTTCTTGAAATGTAGACTAATTGTGGAAGTGCTGGGTTGTTTAAAGCACAAACAAGGGGAAGTATAACAACAGAAACTGTGGTGAACGTTAAATAACAGTATGTGCTGTACAGCTGGTACCTCCTTCAATATACACTGGCCTGTGATACAAGAGGCCTATCTAGCTACCATTTAAAAAATCGATGGTGCACAGCAGATGCACAGTGGCTCTGAAAAGCTGCCTCTCACTCACAACTTGTTTTCTATTTGTGAGGGTTTCTCTGTTCAAGAAAATCTGCTTGCTTTTTACATTAAGGCACCCTCACAATCACTAAGCAGTGCTTGCATTGCTCAGTTTTGGAGATCTAACTGGGAAAGAATGACAAATGAAAGGAAAGTTCAACATCTCAAGTGTTGAGGATGCCTCTTTATTGGACCTGGGGGAGAATTAACAGCATGCTCAGAGTTCCTGCCAAACAAAGCATCAGACACAAGGACTGTTTAAGAGGCAATGTGAGATGGCACATAGCTGCTTTGTGGGTGGTATGAAATAGCTTTCTGTTCACCATCATCTACTAAACCTACACAATCACATTGTCCAGGGAAGGGTTACTGGTAGCTGTGCAAAAATGTTGGCAAAAACTAACGATCAGAAGCTGTACAAGGCAAAGCTGCAGTGAGACTATACAGCAAAATCTCGTTGATAAATATTTTATATTAACCAAGTAGTTGCCATTTGTAACACTCTGAGATTTAGAACAGCATACAGATAGAGGCTGTTCTCGGGCCCCAGGCCAGATTTGTGACAGCTTCTAAATTTTGGATCTAATTCCAAGGCTGGGGCAATTCTCCTGTGACATATCATGACATCTCACTCATGTGGGGAGACCACATGATAAGCATAGTAAAACAGGCCCACCTCTACCATGTGCTGCCCACGAACTGTGAAGTCCATCTTTGAAAGATTAAAGATGAGAAGCTTTTACAAAATTAATGAAAGGGGGCAAAATCTCAGGTCGGCCTATTTTCAATTCAAAAACCATGTTTCTGCTTGCAAGGCATGATCACAGCGTTTCAGAACACACAAGACCAGTTTGTAGTGTAAAGTCCCAGATACTTCCAAAATCAAATTATCTGCAAGTACCTTTCTTCATTAACCGAACTACTTTGCTCCAAAGGAGAAAATAATGATGCCTATTTCTTTGCTACATGACTCAGAAGTCATGTAATAATCTTTGGTGTTGAGGAGCTTAAATATCAGTAGCCTGTGGACTATTGCTGACACAATTTAACGAAGCCTGCAGGTGTACTTGTTCCTGTATCAAACATTATACCAGGATATTAAAAGGGGAGGTGAAAGTCACAGGCTCCTTTCTCGCCTTTGTGTAGAATCAAACCTACCCTCCAGAAAAACTCACACAGATACTCTGATAAACAGGTTCTTAGACAAACACTCACCGCCTCAGGAGCAGTTTTGGATGGTTCTTACTCTCCAAGTTCTTCTCAATCAGATCTGAAAGAAGCTGCTTGAGGACTCCAGTGGCATACTCCATCTCACCCTGCAGTGCGGTCATGATTAAAGATGCCACATTACCCCGATCCCTCATGGAAAAGCTGCGCTGGGCCTCCAAAGTGCGAATGAAAGTCAGGAGGAAGTGCTTTTTGTTCAAGAGTTGTCCAAAGAGGGTCAAGGATTTTTCCACGTTTGCCTGGACCTGGGAGAGGGGAAACATGATGGGGTTAAGTCCAGAGGGTGATGCTGGAGGCAGTAATGTATCAGAGTCTTCTGACCTTCCAGTGAGATTTAAAACAAAACAAACCAAACCAAGTATAAACAGGTAAAGCTAGTTATCAAGGCAGTCAATGTTTTATTTCAACAGTGATCAAGAATATTCTCATTAAAGTAAGCTATATCTTTTCTGTCCTACTACATGATTACAGAAAAAAAAATGTTTAGAAGAATATCCTTCCCGCACTCATCCTTTAGTGATGACCTTCAGCATAAAACAGAATGTATAAATCCCTTAAAAATACTTTACATTCTTTCTTAATGCCATTTCAGAACAATTACTTTATGTCCTGCCTACACTGGAAATCCTTCTTATACACAGTGTTTTAGATACTACAGGCATGTTATACCTCATGTATTTTCTCCAGGGATCCATATAGATATCTCTATCCAGATTTTTCTTCATGTTTTAGGATTCCAAATGACTTTTATGTTATTTGCAGAACTGCACCAGTTTTTATTTTTGGACTTTTTTTGCAGATCCATTCAGTTGACACCTCTTTATTGGTTATTAATGTGCGCAAACACACACGTGTTAATAAAGACATCAGACACCAAGGAATCCTGATGTGACTGAAGGCTAGAATCAGGATTCTGTTCTAGGTCCAAAGCACATAGACACCACTGGGCCCTGGAAACCAGTACTGGTGGTGGTGGCAGAGGCAAACCCTCCTATTGCTCAGTTAGATATGTTTGGAACAGATCCATTCATGAATGGATGAAAAAGTACTGTAGACACAGGTATAGCCATAGGCAGCAGGAATCTAACTGTTCCAGAATTTTGGAGGTGGGAGCTGTGCTGATGGAATATGTCCAAGTGTGCTTTATTTGGTTCTGTACATCATAGATTTCAGGAAATGAGCTCTCCATCTTCACAGACTATTAAAAAGAACCACAATAGGCAAATACAACAGACCCTTTCAGTTCATGGGTCTGTGAAAGACAGAACTCATCCATTGGATCCATTATTCATTGACATACTGGGGTCTGTATATCTAGGACCAAGCCACACACACATAAAACTCATTTTCTTTCTCAAACATTTTTCGTTTTACTACATGACACCTGTCTCATAACCGATACATGGCACTGCGTCCTCTTCCTGTAAAGCCTATTAGAGCAGTGGACTCAAAACTGCATACGAGCTGTATGAAAAAAGTGTACAGATGAGTAAAAACCCTCTTTCCCATCCACACCTTAACAGACAAAGACTTGTGCTATTAAAAGAAACATCAGCTTCTTCTTTTTTCACTCCTTAAATAAAAAGGGTTGCCAAAATGCTGGATTTGGCTGGAGACTAATTGCCAGATTCCCCCTTGGCTAAATCTGAACACAGCAAACAGTTCCTACAGGAAACTGTGGTTGTCTGCACCTTCTGCATATGGTCCTAAATGCTACCCTCTGTCCCTGAGATTAGTGATGGAATTTGGCGTATGCTTGGTTCTCTTTCACTGAATTTTAGACACCAAGTGAAGGACACTCTTCACAAACATTCCCCTGCGCCCCTCCAAGTAACTGCTAAAAAAAACCCCTCAAATTTTGCTGGTTACAGCAGCCCTACCTTCCCTGCTTTCCCTGCTACTCAAGTTGGTTTACATGGTTTTTGCAGACCTGAAGCAAAAAGTCAATTATTAAATTTGATCAAACAATTAATCTAGAAAGACACAAGCTGAGAAATATTTTGCTTAACTATGATTGCTTAGGTTTCCCAATAATGCCTACTCCGTGAATACTTTAATAGAAGCAGGAAAGGGCCTATGTCATTTTTGGGCTGCCTATATACAATATCAGGCAAACTAAACTGGAAACATTTTTTCTATGTGTGCAACTAACATTGAAGGGATTTTTCATTAGATGTTGGGATTAAAAAGCTCAAATGGTACATGATTTTACTCCTGTCTTCTGAATGTCCATAGTACATCTGTTACAAACTCCACATTGTGTGTGCAGTGTATTTGGACAAAGCCTGAATTCAGAACTGATGTGTACTATAGTATTCCTGAGGGATTAAGGACTCCTTTGAGGTAAAGCAGATCTTCTCTGAGGACCAAGATAACCTAGTGTGTTAGATATTAAGTAATAAATTATCTCTAGACACAAGACTGTAAATGCCCCAAGCTTATGTTTATATAGTAAGCTAAGAAGTCTTTATTTAAACCTTGAGGTATATACTGGAATTAACAGATGAAACATACTTCAACCATTTGTCTCTCACATCACTCTTTGTAATTTTTTTTATGAGAACAGCCATTTTGAGATCAGTAATAGAGCACCCTGCAAGAATTAATTGTCCTGAAATTGGAATTTGTTTATTACTATTCTGATGTCAGATTAATATCCATTTATTCCCTTGCATGTCTGTGACTGAGTTACAGTTAGAACACAACTAGCGGCCTGTAGGGTTAGAAGGAAATAAAATAAAGTATCCAGAACTGGACGCATTACTCAGATGAAGCCTAACCAGTGCAGAATAGAGGGAGACTAGTACCTCATGGAGTTTGGAAACTATACTTGTCTTAAATGCAGCCTGAAAATATATAATTTGGCTTTTTTTGTGTGTGCGTGCAGAATAGAGGGAGACTAGTACCTCATAGAATTTGGAAACTATACTTGCCTTAAATGCAGCCTAAAAAAATATAATTTGGCTTTTTTGTGTGCAGCCACATTGCACACAAGTGCAGTTTAAGATCTACAACAATTCCACGATTACATTGCACTGTTGGCTCATAATCAGCTTAATATCTACAACAATTCCACAATCCTTCTTGCTCGTAGTATTACTAAGCCAAGTATCTCCCATTCTGTAACAGTGTGCTTGATTTCCTCCCCCTCAGGTGTAGAACTTTGCACTTATCCCTGTTAAATTTTATTCTGTTTTTTCAGCCCAGTGCTAAGTCTATGAAGATCTTTTTGAATTTTGTTTCTATCTTCTAGAGTATTAGTTATTCCACCCAATTTTGTGTCATTTACAAATTTGATTAAAATTTCCTGCACCCTCACATCCAAGCCACTAATGGGGCACCCAGGATTAAGCCTTGTGATACCCCATTGTTACGAAAATTTCCTGCACCCTCACATCCAAGCCATTAATGGGGCACCCAGGATTAAGCTCTGTGGTACTCCATTGTTACCTCCTCCCAGTTTGAGAAGGAGACATTGATAAACATTCTCTGAATAAAATTCTGTAACCAACTGTATACTGTATCTACCTGACACTTATTGTATCCAACCCACACCTAGTTATCTTGCTAATCAGAATATCATGGGGCACCTTGTCAAAGGCTTCGCTGAAGTCAAGAGATATTACATCTACAGTATTCCCGCTGTCTACTATGGAAGTTACCCAATCAAAAAAGCAAGATAAGATTAGTCTGGTAGGATCTGTTCTTGACAAGTTCACTTTGGCTTCTAGTTATTACTGCTTTTTTCCCGAGGTGCTTGCAGAGTGACCACTTTATAATCTATCCCAGAATTTTTCTCCACTCTATAATCTACATCCAGAATATGGGACTGATGGTAGGTTGACTGGTCTGTAGTTTCCAGGTTTCTTCTTTTTGCCATTTTTGAAGATAGGGGACAACTTTAGCCTTCCCCCAATTATCTGCCACTTCACCCATCTTATATGATTTCAAGAAAAAATAAGAAGTAGTCGTGTTAGTCTATCCTAGCACATAAGGCAAAAACAAAAGTAAAATTAAAAAATGAAGAAGACAAAAACGTGGCATCTTAAAGACTAAGTGTTGTATATTACTGTGACCTTTCATGGACAAGCCCACTTCCTCAGACTGAGAAAGAAGAAAATAATAGTCAGTTATTCTGGGAGTATCTTGACTAGCTCTTTCAATACTCTTGGAGTTCATCTAGCCCTGGAAATTTGAACTCATTCAAAGTAATAAGGTATTCCTTGGTTATTTGTTTATCAGTCTTAAACTGCAATCTTATTCCCTCCACTTGTACTTCACATTTCCCTGGAGGGTCATAGATAGTCTTTTGAGAAAAGAATGCGCTAAAGTAAGATTTGAGCACTTCTGCCTTTTCTTTGTTGCTTCATATCAGTTTTTCCATCCCCACTGAGTAGCTGATCCACTATTTCTCTGTTTTTTCCTACTCATGTACCTGAAGAATGCCTTTTTGTTGCTCTTGTTGACCTCAGCTCATTCACAGGTTCTGCCTTACTAACACTATCCATGCCATGTTTTGCTATTTCTCTGTACTCTTCCTTTGTGTCCTGGCCTTCCTTCCACTTCCCAAATGTGTTCTTTTTAAAAAACTTTCAGGTCCTCTCTGAGCTTACTGTAAAGCAACACTGGCTCTTTTTGCTGTCTCTCACTTTTTTTTTCTTGTTGGAACTGTCTGTAGTTGTGACTTTAGAATTTTCTTTTAAAGAAACTACCATCCTCTTCGACACTGTTTCCTGCCATGGGACCTTACTTACTTACTTCGTTTTTACCTCATCCATCTAGATTCAAACAAATCTGGGCGGCTTACAGTCCAAGCAATATAAAACAAGAATTAAAACAGACAATATATTAAAAAGTATACTTACTTATCATTGTTCTGAGTTTATTAAAGCTGGCTTCCCTAGAATCCAGCTTACACATATGGCTACACTCTGCTTTGGTTTCCTTTGAAATCAAGAACTCGAGTAGAATGTGGTCACTTTCCCCCAAAGTTCCTCTTACTGCTGCTTCTTCCACCAAGTCATCTCTATTGGTTGGAATCAAGTCAAGGACAGCGACTCCTCTAGTTTCTTCATCCACTTCTGGTAGGAGAAAATTATCTTCCACACTAGTCAGGAATTTCAGCAGAATTTGCCACCCAACAGATATCAGGATACTTAAAATCTCCCATCACAACTACATTATGTGTCTTTGAAATTCTTGCAATTTGTTTTCGAAAGGTTTCATCTGTATCTTCTCCTTGGTT